TTTTTTTTTTTTTTTTAGAAGGTTTGATTCCCTGCCCACTATACTTTTTGTAATATTTCACCATGATTCTCAGCGATCACAGCTTTCTAGGTTTTTGGTGACTAACTTTATTGGAAAAAAATTTTTTTTTTTTTTTTTTTTGCAGGGGAAAAAGTCAGTAGATAAATTACCATTCTTTTCATTGCTACGCGCTGATCGAAACTGGGCAATACACTACCGTCAATTAAATAAACTGGTCGGCACCTTTATATTATCCGATTGGCAAGCGTATTGCCCATCTCCCTGTTGCGACTGCTCATGTCTCGATCAGCGATTAGCAGTGAAATGTGACAAGAGATAAATTAAAAGCAAGTGATTTACCTGCCAGATTTTAACGCCTTAGAAATAACAAATACGTGCTCTCTCGCTTCAGTCGAAATCTATTCGGTGTTTTAATAACCATTCATATGTGTTAATGCTATAAACAAATTAAATTTTGCTTAAATTTCAAGTTTGCCGGCTTGCCAGTAGTCCTTCGCTTTTAACGTTTTTTTGGTTCTGCAAATCATTGCCTGTGCACCACCCCTGCAAGATACCACTGCATATTCCAGGTAATATGCACATTTATATATGGTATTGTTATGAAAACCATTTGATCATTTTTATGGAAAATGTACTATTTAAGTTAATAAATTATCATTATTATTATTAACTAGTAAACTAGTAAAAGTACGAAAAAATGAAATGTCTCAATGGGAAACCTTGTTTTACTTAGGAGATAAATTGCAGCGTAACTTTGGGAGCAGATGCGCGTACGTGACACATAAAAATCCTATTTGCGCCGAATTTCAATTTATATTTTTCAATTAACACCTCGTGTTCCACTATTGACAACAAAAGCTATTTGATTCAGGATTTTTCAATAGACCATCACTTCATCACTTCTCTGTGATACGACAATCTACTTGCCAAAACCCTCTCTTTTTTATTCAGTCGAGGAAAACTTTGTACCTATGTCGTTCCTCGCCATAAAAATCATTTTGGTCTTCATCAACTCCTTATCGTCTTTATCAGCCACCATCACAAACCCTCTCATTATCCTGGCCATCCTCAAGACACCAACGCTTCACACTCCTTCCAACGTACTCCTCTGTTCTCTGGCACTCTCGGACTTCGGAGTCGGGCTGCTGGTACAACCTATGTTTATCATAAAACTAGCTAGCCATTTTTTGCCTTTTAACGCTTTGAAGTTCTCAATATTACTTTTTTCGGGAGCATCTTTGTTGACCATAACAGCGATTGCAGTCGACCGTTATCTTGCCTTGAAACTACACTTGAGATATCAAACAGTTGTGACAGTCAAAGGAACAATATTAGTGGCCGTTTGTATTTGGTGCTTGGCGACTGTTGCACTGCTGTTCTACTCGTATGCCGATCTTCTAGCTCAAGATATAGCCTTAATAGTAACACCAGTTCTTTGTCTTAGCATCTCGTCGTACTGTTACATCCAAATCTATCGTATTGTTCGACGCCATCGAAGACAGATCCGTGACCAAAGCCGTTCTATCACTCGTCAGTTTTCCTCGTCATGTGTCCCCACTATCGGACAAGGAAAATCCATTACTACAATGTACTACATCCATGGGCTGTTCGTTCTTTGTGTTATGCCGTCGCCTGTTTCTATGCTCATTCATCTTGTGCATGGCATTGATTTGGGTCTTGTTATCTATATATTTTTTTCTTGGACAATTCTTTTTGTAAATTCTGCGTTAAATCCGTATTTGTACTGCTGGAAAATACCAGAAATAAGACTGGCTGTAAAGTCGTTAATTAAGTTTTAGGAACGTTGTTTCAGAATTTAGCTGTAGATTTCCTTCTAAAATGATGTGCTGGCGATCATAAAATAATGACCAAATAAATTCATTCATTACTTCTCCTTTCTTTCTTCCATCGTTATTCTTAGTTCGTTCGTCCTTCATTTTTTTTTTTTGTTTTTGTTTTTTCTCTCTAATTTTGTAACTTTCCTTTTTTTCCTGTCTTTCACTTTCTCTCTTGGCTTGGGTCCTTCCTTCCTTCCTTCCTTCCTTCCTTCCTTCCTTCCTTCCTTCAACTTTTAATTAATTATTTTACTTAGAATTTGGCATGGACAGNTCTTTCTTTCTTTCTTTTCTTTCTTTTTCTTTTTCTTTTTCTCTTTCTTTCTTTCTTTCGTCCTCTCTTACTTTCTTCCCTTATTTGCTAACAATTCCTAAACGATTCTGAGCTGCGTGGATTGTACTTTCAACAATAATATTTTTAGATCCTCTTAATTTAGCTAAGGCCAGTTCTGTCCACCCTTTCACGTTTTATGTCTTTGTAATTACGATAAATGAGACAACACTTTGATGATTTAATAATGCGGTTTTATTAGTTTATTGTCTTGTCTATTCATATAATGATCAAGTTAATCAATCCGTGTCCGATCCAATCGGCCTTGTTAGTTAACATCACAGGTAAGTAATCCTATAATTAAAAAAAAAAAAATTGGATAATGATAGTGATCAAGAACAAGATGATGATGATGGTGGTGGTGGTGTTGATGAAGATGATGATGATGATGATGATGATGGTGGTGGTGGTGTTGATGTCGATGAAGATGATGATGATGATGATGAAGATGATGAAGATGATGATGATGAAGATGATGATGATGGTGGTGGTGATGTTGATGAAGATGATGATGATGTTGATGCTTTCGTAAGATATAAGATGTACAATGTTTTTCGCAGTTTTCTTTGAGTGGCTGTTTTGTCTCTCTCCTATGACCATGATTCTTAGCGTTAAAACAAAAAGAATTGTTTTCATATAACGTCATAGTGAAATTCAGCAATGATTTGTCGCGAGTTACTTTACCTTTTGACTTAGCAAAGTCCACAGAGAGCCTTGCACTTAGATCGGGCAAAAGATCCCATGCGAGAAGAGGCTTTCCTCACACAGTCACTAGCCGTGATGACCTGCAAATAACGGGTGGCTCATTTTAGTCATTTTTACTGCAAATATTAGAGTGTTAGCTTCTGACCATCAAATAGACCAATTTACCTTACAGATCACGTGTCATTTCCAACAGTATCATTTCTTTGTTTAACGGTTGCGCATAAGACATATATATGGATACAACTTAAGGTACTTGGACTGGCTCAGGGTGGAAAAAAAAATTCTTTAATTTTGCTATGCTACTGGCATACTTAAATACGTTTTCCATGTATTTATGTCCAAAGAGAATAAAACGTGGTCTGATATGGGAAAATATTACGCCCAAGGTAAAGAGGTCTATCTCTGACGGCAGCCAAATACCCAGAAAACCCGACCTATTGAGCCGTGTCTGTCGCGTGATTTTGAAAATAAATGTAAGAATCCAAAAGAATGAAAATTTTACCTTTCCACAGATAGAAGAGCCGTATCTGTTGAAACATCCTGAAGAGAATAATTAACAAAGGTAAACACAATATATAGGGCTAGTAAAAGGAAATAGCTAATAATAATATTTTTTCTAACGGTGGGGAGCGCGCGCGAATAAAAGCGGTGTTACTGGGGAATACCCTGCCCAAACATGCTAAAAATAGAACGTTAAAAAACTGGGTAAAATTTACATTTAACTTATAGCAAGTCAACCAATTTGAAATGATACATTCGCTTCTGTAAGGTTTTTCGACCGTGTGTTTAACTGTGAATTTTTTCTCACAACTGTCGCGCACAACATCCTGACAACACGAACTGCTTCGGTGTAGATCTACCATATAACTTGCTTACAACAGAAGTAAATGGCAGGTCTAAAACTTTAGAAAATATCGTACTGGCATTAATGGGCTCATGTCATATTGATTCCCGATCAATAAAGATTTACAATATAGATCAATGGTTCAAAACTTCAAGCAAAGAATTGCAGATACCCAATCAAAGAAATGTGATTACTTGTATGYGGTTAATCGGCTTGCGGTTGAACAGCCCTACACTCTAGTCATGTTATCAATGATAAGTTACACTTACCTCTCTTCATATAGGAAGGCACTGTCAAAGAAAAACGGGGAAAAAACTTAATTATAGGTGATATTTATTGAAAGAATTTTTTTTCTAATGCGGGATTCTGACTAAAAATGTGATGCATTTTATCAAATCAAATCGTGCATGACTTGGACTATTTCGATACGGTCTTAGGGAACTTTTAGAGAGAGTAGTGGCTAAGGGCGCTATAGTCTCTCCTTAAAACACCTCCCTCCCCCTTATAGTATTATGTATAGTAGTCTAGTTATATTTTCTAATCTAAGCCATCTCCCCAGTTTTAAGGTGCTTTGCGCCTTCATTTCTTCTTCACACACAAAATATTAGTTTCGAATGCCTTTGCTAAGTCCAAGCGAGACGGGTTTGTGTTCAACATTATATGTGTATTAAACATTATGAAGGGCACAACCAGGATAGACAAGAAAACTAATGGAAAACTATGAGAGGGGGGAAATAACTTACATTCATGTTCGGCGAGCATCTCCTCCAAGAACCCTGAAACCTGGCAGAGCAAGACAGTGCCGATGATGAGGAGAACGAAAAGACGTGCTGAGGCCATTTTCGACGGTTGTTTTCAAATCAGGGTTGCTCAATGGACTTGCTGGCTTGAGATATACCTTGAGTCACGTCCACTKCTCTTTTTATACTCTTTTYTACAGTACCATCTGTTAGCATCTTTATTCTCGTTGATGGTGTGGATTCCACCGCATTCTCATCGTGGTATACCTGTGGTATACTGGTCGAGTGACTTGTTGAAATCTTTGT